CATATTTGCGCATGACATTATCCTGACCTTGCACACTGGCTTCCTTAGTTTACTGACTTCCGCGATCTGTCATTATGTTGTCTCCCAAATTGTTCAACGGGGTTTGTTTAGCGTTTTGTAGCATCGTTACCCGAAACACGTCACTGGCCATGCATAATGTGTTACTAGCAGTGGAACTCTATCGAATCAGTCTATTTAGTTCCGCATACACTCCACTCTATGGTTGCAGCTGAACTCTTCTTATATTGTCAAACTGTTCCTTGTTTTACCGTTTTTTGGTTTTCTCTTGAATACCTCTTCCTTGGTTGAATCCGCCCACAGAATTTGTCTTCCCGTGGTCAAACTCATTCCCCCATCATTTTGACAGACCTTCATGATTGTTTATATGACTCCAAGCAGTATGTGTCTTGATCTAGCGCGTAATCTCTCCCTTTGGCACTCCACCAGTCGGTCCAATTGTTTCCTACGCAATGCAACTTTGCCATTATCTGCTTCCTGATACCCCCTTGACGAATGGAAATCAGCATTAGTGCACCTCAGCAGCAGTTGGGAGCAAAACCGACATTTTCTTTTCTCTGCGGTACGGCTACCGACACCCGTGGCACGTTTGCTGTGGTCATCTCGTCAACATCATCAGCAATACACGTTAGCTGAGGGTATGAAACACACCTCTGCTTTTGTGCCGCCATACAAAAAGATAGGATATTAAGAAATAACACTACAAAAATAGCTTCCAAAGCAAGTAATATGATGTAACATATCACATTATGCGTTTCGTATGAGATCGGAATTGGAGGGGAATCTAAAGGGAAGGGGGATGGATAAATAAACTCACAACGCAAACGTCATTGGGTCCGGCTCTTCACCATATCAGCAACTGTGTCCAACCAAACGTGTTCATCGTCCTTAGGAGCCCAGCCAGGCAGTCGGGAGACCCATCCATTCTGCAGGAATGTGGGCTTTACTATCACATACAGTTTGGTCGACAATACTGGCGAGTGGTGTCTTTTCGGCGGCACGGCTTTTGATATTTTGCGGCACTTTCCTCGGATCCCCATTCATATTCGCTTTTACCTCGTGGTGCTCATGTAGCCGTTTGTACTGATAGTACAGATCGGCCTTTGACATTGTCTCTATTATCGCCTCAAAATTCAGTTCATTTAAGCATCTTTGGTGCTCCCATACAAAATCTCTGCCGATCGCATCTTTCCGAGTTTTCATGCCACCTTTGCAAATATGTGCACTCCATCCGCTCATTTAGATACGCTATTGACCGTTCTCATCTCTGAGCTCTGTTGTTTGCCTTACCGAGAGGTGTTGAAACCTACCCTCTGTTCCTTTGGCCGACTTCGGTGCTTATGGATTGGCAACGTCTACGCCACTCTTTCGTATAGCGATGGAGACATATGCTCTAGCAGAGTTCATTAATTCGCATTCCAATATGGGTGCATCGAACTCGTAGCGGTCGAGGCTACGGCATTGGTCTGCATCTTGGTTCCCGTATAAATTATGGTCTTGTAATATCTCCAATGGAGAACTCGCACATAATCACCCGATCGCTTAAGTTTCGCTCGTCACATTCGTTCATTGCTGCCTTCGCAGCTTAACTCATGTCTGGTGGGAGCACCGCGTGGGCAATGAGCTTGTTCGGCGTTGCTTATTTGGTGCAGAAAGAGCCAATGAACCGCTCAGCATCATTATATCACGCGTTAGGCTCCGATGGCTGGGCCACGTATTGCGCATGCCAGCACACAGACTCCCGCGACGTGCATTGTTTGTGCGCCGGGGATGCGGTTAGAAGAGGAGGAGGGGAGGCTAAGCAATGACTTCGTCGAGATGAATGAAACCCCCTACTTCGAAACTGGCATCGGTTGGTGTATGCCGACTGCCTAAGGACGATGAACACGTTTGGTTGGACACAGTTGTTGATATGGCAACGAGCCGGACCCAATGTCGTTTGCGTTGTGAGTTTATTTGTCCATCCTCCTCCCCTTTTGATTCCCCTCCAATTCCGATCTCATGCAAAACGCATAATGTAATATTTAACATCATATTTTGTTGTGTATTTTGTAATGTAATTTTTTGTCTCTAATCTTTTTGTAATACGGCACATTTAGCTAAGGTGTGTTTCTCACGCTCATCTAACGTGTACTGATAGTGATGTTGCATCTACTCAGGCACACTGTTGTTATAAGACAGCTTGCACGTTCACACTGGCATTCATCTTCTTCTGTTTCAAGGTCTCTTTTATTGGATGAATTGTTGTATATCTACTAAGGTGTGGATCCCGCGCTTGTTTTTGGTTAAATCATTACGAGCGCTCTCGTGGTCCACTCATTGGGTTTAAGTTTTTCTATCTTATTGACTACTCTGTTGAATTGCGGTCTTCTTCAGTAGTTGCTATTCGCGCGCCTTTAGTCGATCATCTATCCGTTCGCTTGCTATGCAGGTGGAAAAAAGCGATGTGACCATCTGGTTCGTCCGAACAGGAGTCATCCAACGTTATCCAAACCAGCACATGTTTGATATGTCCCCTTCCGCTAGGATTCCAACCCATATCATGCATCATGTTGAATAAGCGTGGTATACATTTATTTATTCACTAGAAATACCCCATTGAGTGAGTATTTTAAGTTGTCAAAAGTTACTTAACAGACAATATTTCAGGATGCAATGATCTCAGTTTAGTTGCAGGTCCTCCACTTGATCATCACTTTCTCCAACTAGTCCGCTTCTGAATGCGTTGAATTGACAGTATTTTATGGGTACATAAACGTAATGACTACTGTGTGTTCGCTCACCTACTCATTTAGAGTTGGTCACTCCCCTTCTTCCTTTACACTGTTGCACGTAACTCGGCGCCTGATAGCTAACGGTCATCAACGAAGCTTGCACCATACAGCTGTCTAACAAAGCCAACTGTTTAATTTTCATGTGGGATTGCCGAGTTACTTGCTTATTGCTGTTGATGATACCAAGCCATCTTATCAAGCTGGTCTCTTGGTCACCCCAATTTACTTCCGTAGTTAATGCAAGAATGTTTCAATATGCCAGCTTCTTTGATTCATCCCCAATCCCTGACGAGGCTCCACAAAGGATAACATACATGAAAATACTGCTGACATCGCTAGAGGACGGAAATGTCACTGACGCAGCTATCCAAGTAATGTCTTATTCCGTTCTTTCATCAAGAACAACGCTCTCAACCCACAGAAACATAATACATCACATTCAATAAATTTCAACTTATGCTTTGTTTACAAAATGAGCAGATCAATAGCGAATCCTAATACCCCTGACTTCCTGCCACCAATCATTTATTCTACACAAATATTCATGAAATGTCGATTGAACATCCTCTGTCCAACATTGCTTCCCTCAAATCCACAGACCCTTAGATTTCGAATCCAACTCCTGTAGTCCTTTCCTGCAAGCGAATTCAACTTCGCTTTTTCAATCTCATGACAATAAATGTAAGGGAGTTTTATGGAATGTTGTAATACGGACTTCGTCATCCTTTTCATAAAAGATCATGCGTATTTTGATCACCCGGCCAAATTCCAAGGTTCCCAGAAGGTTCTAATGATGCCATATCACGGGATTCCAAGCGTCCCTACCCAATGACGATTGTCCATTTTGGAATTTATTTTGATTCTTCCCCACAATTCAAGGAAAAATTTTAACAAAGCATGCTTAATCAAACATTTCCGACTAGCAATCTGACCTTTTTTTATAAAAATATTTGTTTTATCGTCGGAAATTGTGAACAAACTTTACATTTTACGTCTCCCAGATCAACTAGTGGTCGATCTGTTGCTACCCTTTGTCATAGATCGATCACGGCGATCTAGGTGTCTTGTTGCGTCGAGAATAAACTTTCTGTATGTATTTATGGCGTAGCGCGACCTCCGCATGGATTTTGTTTTGCTCTTTACTACTAAGTCACCGCACGCAGTATGTATAGTGACGTCCTTGAACGTTAACGTCTTTGAAGAAAACCCCATCGGGAATTCAAGCCGAATATTTCATAGAGAATAGTTTTGAAAGCTGGTGTTAGAACAAGCAGCATGTTCTAAGAAGCATACAAATTCTCAGGGTTGCTTGACTTCGTGGACTACACTTTTCGCCTTGGTATTGAATCTAGAGGTTGCTCCGCTGTGACCTATTTGGTTCCAGTTCGTGTATGTTTCTTCGGTCGGGTCCCTAGTGGGGTCTTTGTTCTCGTTGTCCTAGGTATTCATCCTTTTCTACGGTATCTTACATAAGTGGTTTCCACACTCTTTGCTCACTGTTTACTGTCTCCCTTGGTGCATTCCACAGTCCGATTTGAGTCTGTGCAACCTCATGCATTGCACGCAAATAATGATATTGTGTTTTTTAGTGAAACGATCCTCTGAGTCTAAGACAGTCCGTTAAACGTACTACTAGAATGCCACACATGTAACCCACTATTTTCGCTCAAAGCATATTGGTTATGTAAGTAAAGCGAAAACTTGGAGCTTTCGTCGTTTTGGTATTGACCAAGCTGTGTAGGCGTCCTATTCTTGGATGGGTCCTTGGAACCCACCGTACCAATGGTTGGAGGCGCTATCGGACTATGCGCCGTAACAAAATCAGTGACTTACTCGAATGCGATCCGTTACTTCTTATCATTATCTTCCTCTTTATCGGTTTATCTCTTTCTTTAGTTTTTTCCAATCATTTTCTATGTCAACTCAGATAATAATTGCTGAGCTGGACTTACTGGACCGAGCTGCCCATCATGGGCTGACCACATTACTTAATGCGGGCTCATACGTCTTATTTAGTGCTCCCTTATGGTCATCACGTGAGTCCACTGGTCCTTGATGTTTATCTTCACTTACTAAGCATCTTTGGTTACTTGAAGTTTAGCGGACAACAATTTTCCCAATTCGTCGTGCTTCCTACACTGTACTTCTTCTGCTCACATCTCCATCTGTTCTCCATTGAAACACGACTTTTCGCTTTTTCACTTTCAGGTCAATGTGGCTTGCCACAACAACTCGGCACTAGGCGTGGGACCCGATTCTACCATGGGCGACAATGTGCAGCTCAACTTCTTACAACACGATCTGGAGTTGAAGCAACGTACCCTCGCCGAACTCGAACGTTCTAGCCTCAGACGAGCAGTTGTCGAAGAGCGTCGCCGATTCGCCGAACTGATGACCTGTCTGAAGCCTGTGCTTGTGAGTCTCATTACTTTCACTTTACTCCCCTCGTCTTGCTGTCGGCGTCTTTTTTCCATTACCACGCCTGCTGCGTTGTGTCGCGCAGAAGCAGTCATATTTGTATTGGTCATCGTATTTGCGAGTGTGGTGCGGAGTCTGCTCTAGACGTGCTACTGTTGTCGTGCTTTGTTTACTGCTTCCTGGGCTTACGGAGGACTATATGTATAGACACCAGCTTTCCGCGATTCTGCAAAAAGGTCGAAAAATCGTGAGTATCTCAATTACGCGGAAAATGAATTACTTTACGAAATGACAGAAAAAATGAACAATTCAGGAAGTAGGTTACTTGAATTCGCTTTTGCTGTACAAAACATACTCAACAGGTCTTAATTTTTTCAGATGTCATGTCAGAGAAAGGAATAGCATTTATGAAGTCAAAATGCCCTGGATTAAAAATTACCGTTTTGTACTTCGTGTGAATTGACTTGAAATCCAACTCGAACATCAACCGTGTTTGACCATATTCGCAGCCAGAAGCATCTTCAGCAAAAGACTCACAACGAGGAGCAGACTGTTTAATAGGTTGTCAAGAGGTAAACAGCTCCGAAGAAAGCTCGACATGCAAGCATCGTTAGTTCCATCGCTGTTGCGAATGCTGCCCAAGAAGATTGTGTCACATTGACATCTAACTTTCTACTTTCTATGGTATCTGCGAGTATTCCTATGGGAAGCTCGACAACCCCAGATTGCGAGAATTTATTCACATACACGTACTAAATGGTGGAAGAAATGCCGGATCTAACGCGCTAGAGACGTTCCGTGATACCTTTGCCTGCGTCATAACAGAGGAAACAACAGATGATCACTGGAAGATGGCATCGTACATCGTTTTATTCTCACCGTTGAAGTTCAGTAAGGACAATCTGCAAGCAAAATTCGTCGATGCGGTCAACTTGGAGAAAGTCAATTATTACCACAGTTGGAGGAGCCACTCTGCGCAGCTTGACAGTGATGGGTATCGACTTCAGTCGTGGGACGGCTTTCTCCGATGGCGCAAGATATATGACAGCATGCTACCGAGGTGTCATTAAGCGTTTGTGAGGATGCAGTTCTCATTAGATGTGCTGTCCATTGCTTCGATTTGATTGAAGAGACTCTTCGCAAAATTTCCCCGGAACTTGGCGGTTTCGTTGCAAAACGAAAATTGCTTTTCGTCTTTTGGAAGAAAAAGAAGTGTCTACACTGAGTATCTGACTCAAGAAGGTGCGAATCACCGACCAACCCGCCTGCACTGGTCATCACCCGCTGGAACTCCTTGCTGGAAGCTGTCGCACATCACAGCAAGTATTTCCATCATTACCCAGCCATGCTGCACGCTATACAATATGAGTTTGGAGACTCAGCTGGTGTTTGTAAGTTTGTGGATCTTCTAACCGACGAAACAACACAGAAAGCTTGAAGTGGCAACAGTAGCATTGCGATCTTTGGTAAAGACATCCGTCACTTGAAAACTGCGGAGAGAGCATGTAATTTTATGTTGGCACGGCGGAATTTTGATCACGGAAAAAATCTTTTACGACCGCAGAAAATTTGTGTCTAAGATTTTGTTTCAGAAGTTGCTGCGATGAACTCTTGGTTAACTACGTCGAATATCCCCTACTCATGATCACACCAAAATATACACCCCAACAGTTTCTACATACTACGTCGTACATGGCTACTGTCTGCAGAGGTCGTGTCTTTTGGGACGAACCCCGTTCTCCGGGACATTTGTAACCTGCATCGCAGTGGATGTAACATGCGCTATATCACAGTTCGCTTGTATATCATGATGACCCGCTGTTGTTCACCATGGCTCAGTGGCATAAGCTTTTGACTAGCGATTCAAACCGCTGGTGGTCGTGGGTTTGTATCCTGATTGAGCCAATGACTACGCATTACTGACGAGACCCAACAGGTCGAAATGGCGTCCAGTGCTTCTCTGAGCTCGAGAAATATCAAATATGAAAGCTACTGCGATTAACTCACAATTAATTGCATCCCCAATTTCCCTACTCATGCTTACAGATACGTGCACATAGAAATGATAGGTCCCGATGGGTAAACGTGTCATTCAGTCGAGAAATCTACTTGTTTATTTACCTGCATCTTTTGCTTTCATCGGCCTTCTCACTGCTCGTTACTGCACCGGTTTTACTCCAGAACTTCCTTTCAGTTATGCCTATTGCAAAGTGATTCATTATTTTCCTTTCCTCACTTTTAGGACTCGCATACTGCCCTCTTCAGCGATGTCACTGCTATCGACGAGTGCGTTGCGACTATCGGGGAACACGTTTTCGATCCAAACAACCTGCCCAATGAGACAGAGCAAGCGATTGACGAAGCTGTTGAACAGGTATCTTCTAGGATGCGATCATCCGAATGGAAGTTATCCGAGGCTCGATCTATGTTGCGGCTTCGAAAAGGCTCTTCCCGTTTCGAGTCCAGTCACCCCAACCTATCGGGACATACTTCCCAACTTAGTCTGCATTCCGTCAATTCCAGCTCTACGACTACCTCTTGGAATGCCATAGCAGCGGCTGCAGCCTCCAACGCACTGGCATCCACTTGTTCCCGGTCTCCGTCGGGTAGTTCTTGCCCAGCTGGCCGAGATATCAAACCCCACTCTCACGGACTGGTGAGTTACGTTCCATGTTAGTCTGCTTTCAGTTGCATCTGTCCATCTTTGAAACATCAGTGCAGCTAAATACGGTAAGATGTAAAACAACGAATTGTTTTACTATACTTAATGTGCAGATGCGAATTAATCTTCCCTATGCACCGGGTACTCCCATATGTGACAAATCCCTATACTGGCAATCGTTTCAACCCTTTCAATTCACTTTAGGGGACTCTCCGCTAGCCTTAAAATCAGCTGCTAATTTCTGTACATCTGTGCTCCATATCGTTATCATGGTTTGCCTCGGATTAACTACTTGGGGTTACCATTAACGCATAAAACTATCTTCATTGCCCTCTCTTCTTACTCTTATTCCCCAGCCACAACAGATTTTCAGTTTTTTGCCTCTTAACACTGGTCCTTTACCTCCACCCTTGTGCTATGGATACGTCCTAAGCTACATTCACACCGAGACTGTGAGCACTGGATGTTTTTTGACGCCTACTGTCTCTTTTGTCCTCTTTCAGGTATGACATAGTCATCATGACGAATCTGCTGCCATCCGATTCGTTTTCAAGTAAAGTCAAAATAGGCTTTTATGAACTTGACTGGGAACCCTTTTGGCATTTGAAACTAGAACCACGGGTGTAGTAAGGCATAACATTAGCATGAAATTGAAATAAAAGCCCAAAAAGAAGAAAATATGCTTACACACCACTCAAGTAAGCTTTCACGCGTGATCCTGCTAAACTTCTTGGAGTCCACAAGAAAACGCGATAACTACGCGATATGCTGTGATTTTAATGTCAAATGTGCCATGTAATTCTACAACAACCCTAGCTTAGTTTGGTCAAACAAGCTTGCATATTTGTTGCAAAATTCCGGAGAGTTGCGGAGCAGCTTTCGCTATGTTGACGTTTGACATGATGCCTGGAAGACGTTTAATCCCTTCGCGATCAAGTATGTTAGAGCCGGGTCCCCCAGAAACGTGTACTCGGATGTTATCCGTTGAGTTGTCGTAGGATATGCTGGCAAGAAAGTATCCAATACATTCACCAATTGTCCAGTGTAAACTCGTATTTTTCTGATTCCGTCTCGGTGTAACACCATGGTTAGATGGAGTTGTGATAAGGTGTTGTGTGAGAAAATAAAACCCCACATTTAGAGCGGGTAGACGAGCAGGAGAGCGCTCTAGATAAATCGGTGTGAATGGGGTAAGAAGGGTCATTTAAAATATTTGCTGAAAACTTGTCGCATGCACTTAAGTGCTTAGTGACAGTGAAGTTAACCAGAGACTCCGGGCAATCCGCAACACTTGGAAACGAATTTCATGGAAGGCGCAATCAATGTGAAGATTTTAGTAGAAAACCAGAACAAGATAATTAGACAATATAACCATTGGGGAAGAATGCAGATGGCCACGAGTTTATAAATTAAAGAACTGGGTACTGAAAGCATTTTGAGTCTGAGGGCTTAGACTTATGATTTTCGCACCTTGCGGAACGTTTCGTTAACGTGTGTTAACCATGATCGATTGTGAGAAAAATATATACCAGGGTAGTCAACAGTGAATGACTGGGTATATTGTAATCGCTTACAACTATGGAGCAAGAAATGTTTGCTGCAGTCATTCGTTTGTCATTGCAAAGAAAAGAGGAAGTTGCATCACTCAATTTAGAAGCGTTAAGAACAAGGGATCGGGACGGCAGCCACTGTTGAAATTTATCCAGTCTGATTTAGAAAGTCGTTGATTCATTAGTTGCAGCAATGCTGCCTAAGACTACGTCCACAGCGTACTTGCATCTAGTAAAATTGGGGGGGGGGGGAAGGGGAATTAGAGGCATTTCAGTGTATAGCGAATGGAAGAGGAGACAGGATTGCTCTTTGTAAAACGCCCCAGTCATCATTAAGAGTGCGGAGTTTTTTATCGTTTAGCTGGATATAATGAGATCGGTTCAGGAAGTAGTTGCTCATCATCTTGCACACTGCTGGTTGAACACCATTCGCAGACAACCGCTTAAGCAAGGTATGTCAAGACTTCCAAAAGCGTTGGTCTAATCAAGGAAGAGGAACCGCACATTCTTGCATTTCCCATCGAATGAATATGCTATTGAGTGAAACATGCATCCTACGTCATCCAACGTGGAACGTCGGGGTCTGTACTTAAACAGATAAGTCCATGACCGGTGTTTTTGTTGAGATCCATTTCACAAGTTGTGTCTCGAAGACTTTCAGCATGACGGATGTACAGGTAATCTGCGGAATCTCCTGCATCCCTTTTTTGGCACGGGTGCTATCTTGAGATGGCTCTAGATATCAGGGACAATTCCACCGTATAGACACCGATTAAAAAGACCTGTCAAGGGTATTGACACACTCTTTCAAAACAACTGGTGAAAGAGCATCTGATCCACCAGCTTGTGTTCAGATTTATGACTTCACTGTTGAATTCAATGTGTTGGCATGTAATTTTTGAACCGAAGCCAGAGAACAAAGACGGAGGGAATAAAGGGGCGGATAATGATTCATGTGAAAACGAACCGAACTCATAATTGAATTTCTCTACATCCACAGATTTCATCTTGTGGTGTACTAGAGGCGGACACTACTGCAGCAGTTATCATTAGTGTGGAAAGGCGAGATGCGAAACGGCAACCACTCATGATTCCCTCAAAGGAGAGGAAGACTTTAGAACCGCATTTGTATGCTCTCGAGGAATGAACGCACAAGCGATGCACACCACACAACACAGAAAGAAACAGGCGCCAAGCAACCTCCAGCAGGGCTTGAGAAGATGAGTGGATGTCTGGTTTGTCAAGACGGATGCACTTAGTATAAACTATGTTTGACGCAATAAGCAATTCCGCTTGCACCTCGGTTTTTTTTAATTTGGTGCTGTGATCAACTAAGGTGCGTTATGAAGATCCCTGGATAGAGCCGTTTGAAGCAGAGGTGGTGATGACCTACTTGGATGAGTTTGAGAACGTAACAGAGACGGGTGAAGCTGGTGGCCCTGCGGAGTTTGCTCAAGGGCTGGGCGAACGCAGTTCTTGAGACACTGCGAAGAGGCTACGTCACTGTGAACTGAACAACCACGAAGGATTCGTCGGTCTCCGGATTGGACATCCCGGTCGGCTGCCAAGAGGCCATGCGGCGGTTCAAGACTGCACGACTTGGTGTTGGGGGTGGATCATGTTGTGTTTGCAGTCCACATCAGGACCTTGTTGCACGTGGTCTTGCCGGGAGTGGACGAACCGCAAAAATAGCAATTACTGGTGATGACTGGTCTCCCACATCCAACCGCGGGACGCGTCTGGATTGCGAACGCTACTCGATGAATGCGACTGGATGAGTTGGCGCAGGTTACCCGAGAGCTGGGAGACGCACCACTCACTGCGCTGAAGGAGGAATACCATGAGGGCGTTGAGCGAATGGATAAATTGGACTGGATAATGGAACAGCTCGCGGAAGATGTCAATGGGATTCGCGTTCAGTGCTCGGAGAAGTGAACAAGGGGATTTTGCTTCCTTTGCGGGAAACCAGGACACTGGAAAAGACATTGTTCTGTGAAACGTGCTGTTTCTCGTGTACCAAATAAACGCATTCCACCTTTGTTTCCCTCTCGGATCAGGGAATGTGTACTCGGGGCGCTTAGTAGGGGGGTGTTCGAAGCGATGGTGGAAGTAGACGGAATGATGGATCTATGTCTGATCGATACGGCTGCCGCAGTGTCGCTGATCAGCCATCGGTGCGGCGAAAAGCTTCAATCGTGCTCCATACTCGTGAGAGCTGTTGGCGGTTACTCAGTGGGCATCTGTGGTTTGACCGAACACATTGTGGGAATCGGGGGATGGAAACTAACGCATATCTTCTTCGTGTCACCAGATACGTAACGAACAATATTCGGGCAGATTTCGTCGATCTAAAACGAGGGAAATTGTTGACCGGTCGTTGCCACACATTGGCCGTGGAGAAACGATACCCTCGCAATCGGTTGTTGCCGCGTTACATTTGAGCCCGGTATTGTAGTTACTAATCACTAAGTATCATCCCTTGTTTACAGATGAGGGCAGCCCGTATGGATTTTGCGGCTGGATCGAACACACTATCCCGCTAACTCGCCAGACGTATCGGCCCCAGGGACTTCGAGGGATACCGATCCATTTGGAGGCGAAGTTGAAGAGGCAAGTACAGCAGAAGTTAGACGCAAATGAAATTAAAGAGGCGCACAGCCTATACAGTTCTCCAGTAGTCTTGGGGAGGAAGGCTAATGGGAAGTATCGTTTCTTTATGGACTTCTGAAGGCTGAATGAAATTTTCTCGAGCCGTTTCATTCCAGTGCCATCAGTTGCTGACATTTTGATAGACTGCAACAGTCGAGGATATTCACGGTTATGGATCTGAGATCTGGATACTGGCAACTGGTGGTCAAACGAGAAGACCGAGAAAAAACGGCGTTTACCCTCGGTGAAACAATACCAACTGAAAAGAATGCCTTTGAATTATCGGGAGCCGCGTTTACCTTCCGACGTTACTGGGTGGCTTGGAAAAGGTGGCGGTGTACGAGGATGATATCCTGGTGTATAGCCAATCAGCGGCGGAGCACAGCGGTCATATCGGAGTAGTCCTAGAACGGATTCGGCAGTCGGGACTCCGTATAAATGGACCGAAGTCCCAGATTGGAAAGACTTGTGTCACCTTATTGGGCTATAAAGAGGGACAAGGTGAACTGAAGGCACTACCTGAGATAATATTGACAATACAAGGCATCTCAGTTCCCACCTCAAGGCATCTCAGTTCCTACCTCAAGGCGCACTCTCAGAGCGTTCCTGGACCGGGCTGGATACTATAGCAAATTTATCAAGGCATTCAACAATCTAGCCTTACCGTTGTACAAGCTGATGAAAAAGGATTAGAAATTCACTTGTACTTCAAAAGCCCAACAAGTCTTTGATCGCATTCTACAGGACATCGGAAGGCAGGAGCTGACCCTGCAATTGCCCATTGCTGGAGAGATG